ATTTCTTCTACCTGTAGATGGCAGCACTTGAGCTCCCTTTCCTGCTGTGATTGGGCTGGTTTGGGGACTTTGCCCCCAGGCACTTTTCTAGATTGCTAGGATACAGCAAAGAACAGTCGAAATCCACAGCCACGTGAGTTTGCATTCCAGTGAGGAGACTCACAAACAAGCCATGAAGCAGGTGTTCCCTGTGTGTCAGGTAGGGACAGGCAGGAGAAGGGTTTCCCTAGGAAGTAGCCATTAAGTAGGGAACTGGGAATTGTAAGGGAGGGGATCATGGATATCTGGGGGAGCAGATTTTAGGCAAAGGAAACGGCAACTTCTTTGCCCATTGTTTGGCAAGAGCCAGTCCTGGTTAGACCCAGCACTCTTCCTACTGCACACCCAGGTCTGCACAGCTGACACTTGGCTAGGGAAAAAAGCAAGCCCCTGTGCTGCTGGCCCTGTGGAAGCTCACGCCCAGATTCTCAGGGTGGAGCTGGGGAGCTAAGGGGAGCCTTTGGCTTGCTGGGGTCATTCACGCTCCCTCTCCTCTAGATGGCCAGTTACCAGCAGTAGCTTCACCGGCTTCATGCTCAGCCAACCTCCTCACCTCCTATTTCACTGGCAAAATTCTAACCTTCAGAAGGCTCCCTTGCTAAGATCCCAATACCTTATGTACTTACCTATTTGAGCCTGTCAAATCCTTCTCCTCCGTTACCATGGGTGAGAGGAGATGTGTACTGGAGTCCAGCTCCTCTACCACTCTGGAACATTATTCCAGAAACTCTCCCTCCCTTTGGCATTGGTCATGCTCTTCCCCCAGCCCCACCACGTCAGGCCAATCCCATCAACCTTGAACATGCTCTTCCATCTCCCATATTTTATGTTTTTTATTTTTATTTATTTATTTTTTAAACTATTTTGGTGCTGGGAACGGAACCCAGGGCCTCACACATGCTAGGCAAGTGCTCTACCACTGAGCCACACTCCCAGCCCATCAGGTGTCCCTTTCTCAGTAAGACCTCCCCTGACCTTTGTATTTAACACTGTTCCCCGCCTCATGTCCTCTTCCTGGCTTCATCTGTCTCCACAGTGCTCCTTCCTTTCCGACATCCTCTCTAAGGTCCTACCTACTTTGTTTATTGTCCATCCTTCCTATCTGTACATACAGAAATGTATGTCCAAAGAGGACAGAAGTTTCTTCTACTTTGTGCATAGCACCTGGAGAAGGGCCCAGGCCATCACAAGTGCTTGGTAAGGTAATGTGTGCTCAGTGCAAGAAGAAATGTATGGTGATTCAAGGAACAGCTAAGTCACCGTGGCTGGAGCAGAGCAAACAGGGGAGTATTGGGAAATTAGGCAAAGAGGCCAGATTACAGATCTCACTCTCAGTATGGTTCAGGACACTGCTGAAGAGTTTGGAGATGGGAGGGACAGGATCTGATGGATGTCACTGAGATGCAGGTCTACTTGAAAGTTTCACATAATAAGTGTGACCATGTGACAGACAGTTTTTTTTTTTTTAAACCTCTGTTAACTTTTGAAATTCGACTGCAGGACTAAAGGAAAGCTGTGTGTTGATAGTGGCACCTGTGATATAGGCAGAGTCAGAAGGGAATGACCTCTACCTTGGAAAGGAGCCATGTTTTACTGGTTGCTATGGACTGAATGTGTTTGCCCCATCCTAATTCATATGTTGACAGCCTACTCCTGTGGGTGATGAGGTCCTGAGAGTGCAGCTCCATGGATAGAATTAGTACCCTCATGAAAGAAGTCCTGACACCTGCCACTGTCCGAGGACAGAGCAAGAAGGTACCATCTATGAACCAGAGAGAAGCTCACGCCAGAAACCGTCTTTGTTGGAGCCTTTGTCTTGGACTTCCCAGCCTTCGGTACTATGAACAATAAATTTCTGTTGTTTATAAGCCACTCAGCCTATGGTACTCTATGATGGCAGCCTGAATGGACTAAGATATGGATAAAAACACAACCCTAAACGTTTCTCCTTCAACAAACAAAATTAAAGTTCATTTGTAAACACTTAGAACTCTCCATGCTCTGTTGACCTACTAATAAAAATATTCAATTCAAGTTGTTTGCTTTTTAAACAACTGGTGTGTAGGTATGTACACAATTTTTTAAAGATATGAATCAAGAGGCATTTCCAAGCACATGATACTGGTCTACGTTAAATAACTGTGGCTGGTTTCTAAGTGTTGTGTGCAGAATTTGAAAGATCTGTCTTGAGTATAAACAGTAACACTAAAACATTTGTGGTCTCCAGGCCATGTTTAGCATTTCAGTTATTTATTTCAGTTATTTATTTATTTATTGCAGTACTGGGGATGGAAACCAGAGACACCACTAAGCTACATCTCCAGCCCTTTTAAAAATTATATGAGACAGGGTCTCATTAAGTTGCTGAGGCTGGTCTCAAACTTGTGATCCTCCTGCCTCAGCATCCAAAGTCAACACCCATGGTTTACTATCTTATAAGCTTTTTTTTTTTTTTTTTCCAGGACTGGGGATTGAACCTAGGGCCTCACAACATGGTAGGGAAGTGCTCTACCACTGAGTCACACCCCAGCCCTAGAAGATTCTTTTAAGATAAAAATGCCTAATTCTAGCTGGGTAATTATAATTAATGCCTATAATCCCAGCGACTCAGAAGACTGAGACAGGAGGATTGTAAGTTTAAGGCCAGCCTCAGCAATTCAGCAGACCCTCAGCAACTTAATGAGATTCTGTTTCAAAATAAAAATTTGCCAAAGGATCAGGGCTGTGGAACAGTGGTAAAGTGCGCAAAACTCTCCTAATTCTAGTTTAATATTTTATAGCAGTGCTTCTCAAACTTTATTGTGTACCCCACCCCCATCTTGTTAAAATGCAGATTCTGGTTCAGTAAATTGGGGCTGGGCCTGAGACTGGATTTTTAACAAGCTCCTGGGGTATTCAGACTCTACTTTTAGGTGAACCACACTTTGGATTTATGGAATTTAAAGCACTCTCATGCAAGTCATCTTATTGGTCATTGTCACCATCCTACAGACAGGATTCGCTAATACACATATTCAACCAAGCACTGAGCATACAGATATGGTCTTTTGAACAAAATATTTATTTTTTAATTGTAGGTGGACACAGTACCTTTATTTTATTTTTATGTGGTGCTGAGGACTGAACCCCAGGCCTTGCACATGCTAGGCAAATGCTCTACTGCTGAGCCACAAACCCAGCCCCCAGATATAGTCTTATGGGGTGGAAAACCAAACACTAAACAAAAAAGGCATGTAGACAGATAAATAAGTAATTATAGTTGACCCTCTTCGACACATATGGAGATTCAACCAATAGAAGGAACAGCAACAAAAAGTTGTACATGTACCGAACATGTATGAACTTTATTTTTGCATCATTAATTCCTAAAAATAAAACCTAATGTCTATTCACATAACATTTACATTGGATTAGGCTTCATAGGTAATCTAGAGATGAGTTAAAAGTGTATGGGAGGGTGTGCCTAGGTTTATATGCAAATGATGCTATTTTATGTAAAGGACTTGAGCATCTGTGGAGTTTTATATCCACTAAAGGCAATGTCTGGAACCAAATCCCCAGTAGACACTAAGGGATGAGATGACTGTATGTAAGTGACTAGCCCTGAGCAGGAGATAAAGAGAAGGCTGAAAAAGAACAGCAGGAGGTGATTTAAGTTCAGAGGCAGAGGGGCAAGGCTCTGGACAGACACCAGGCTGCTTCTGCAACCAAAGCGCAGGGAGGGAAGACCCCCAAATCAGGTTAGGGGAGGCAGGGCTGGTCAGGTGTAGAAGGCCCCGGTAGAGGGATGATTTCAATCTAAGTCCAGGGTATGCGTTGATGCTTTAAGTAGGGACCTGACAGGTCTGGTCTTTGCCTTAGGCTCGCTCTGCTATGTGGGAAATGAAACCTCTCCAGGGTCACATCAGAGTCGTATAGGGTGTGTCGGGACAAGCTGGGACTTGACAAGAAATCAAGACTGGTGGCCCTGGAGTCGCATGGACACACTTGGGAACCAGGAGTCTCCGTATCAATAAGGTACCCACAAGGGCACCTGTTTTTATCGCCGAACGTAGGACATCAAAGGCGCGCTCGCTCCAGGGCTCAACACGTGACTTTCCTTTTACTTCTTTTCAGAGGACCTGTACTTCCACCTTCGCTTTGCTGGTCACGCTGACATCTTGGCCATCTCTCTCCCTCTCTGCCACAGTCTGGATGACACCAGCCACAGGAGACAGCGCGGATTTCCCTCAAATCGGGCGGCAGGCAGGCACAGCCCAGGAATCCGAGGCACGGGAGGGCGAGGAGCGCGCGCGCTCTAGAAACTCTGAGCAAACTTGAAGCCACGGGTCTTCTGCCACCGCAGGCTGCCCAGGCCGCGGGGGCGTTTCCTCGCTTAGGACCCCGCCCCGCGCTGCC